GATAATACTCAAGTCCAATGCATCAAATATACAGAAAGTTCTCCAGAATACTCTCACTTATTTACAAAGTTCAAGTTAACAGAAAGTTAGAAAAAAAAACACAAGACGGTTGGAGCTTGTTCTATAAAAATTTTCCGTGCCGTCAGTCAGACGCACCAAATATTACAATTGACCATCTAAGTTCAAGGTACAAGAAAGCTGCAATACGTTAAACATGAACTTTGAAAGTAAATTATCAAATCCAAACACAAGCAAACAGGGAGTTACAAGGAAAATGAGGGTAAAAACAAACACCTTTTCTTTACACAAATTTTGTTGAATCAAGTAACCAGTACCTGGTAAGCGCATCAAGCACAACTACAGCAATCCCTCTGTTTTGGGCTGATTATCACCCTTGGTTGTGATATCATCATAAAATGCCCTTGCAGCAAACTTCACCAACCTATTTTGAGAAAACACACCAAAATGAAATCAAATGCTTGATCTCCCCTTCAACTTTGCTCGGAGATTGAAGAAACTTATAAGGTGCAGATCGTGTCCCTTACCTGTTAAAAGGCTCAAGGCTTATGCTTTTATGCGGCGTATCGCTGAATGACATTTAGGGATCTGTTGGACTTCTCTTTATTATTTGGTTACGGTTGCAAGCTTTTTTAATTCATCCAAAACCTACGAACAACTTCTAGCCTAGCAGTCTATTATCTTGTAAATAAACCACAAAAGTTTTGATGTCAGAGGTTTAAGCTTGATGTTTCAATTTCACCCATATGGTGATTAAACTGAATTAGAGTAGTTATGATAAGATAATAGGACGATTAGTTACGGTATATGATTTCAACTGATAATAATGAATTTCTTAGTTAATCTCTTTAAAAATATTATAAAATTAACTTTTTAATACTAATAATATTTTTAAAGAGACTTTTCAAAAAAAATCTTCTTGAGCCTTGAATAATGAGTTCCCTAATTACAAAGAAGACAAAAACATCTAAAATAAATTTAGTCTTGGTTTTCATTTGTTTCTCTTCTTGTTGATGCTCCTGTAATTCTTTCTCAGTTTATTTTTTGTTCTTAAGTCATGTTTTTCATGTTAACTTAAAAATTTAACTACCAGCAACTTCTAGTTTAATAGATTACTACCTTGTAAGTAAATCACAGAAGTTTTGATTTCAGAGGTTGAAGCTTGGCACTTCAATTTTACCCGTCTTATTATTAGATTGAATTAGAGTAGTTACGAGAAGATAATAGGACGATTAGTTACAATATATGATTTCAACTGATAATAATGAATTCCCTAGTTAAGCTCTTTAAAAATATTATAAAGTTAACTTTTTAATACCAATAGTATTTTTAAAGAGTCTTGAATAATGAGTTCCCTAGTTACAAAGAAGACAAAAATATCTAAAATAACTTTACTCTTAATTTTCGTTTGCTTCTCTTCTTATTGATGCTCCTGTAATTCTTTCTCAGTTTGTTCATCTTTCTTGAGTCATGTTTTTCATGTCAACTTAAAAATTTAACTACGAGCAACTTCTAATCTAGCAGTCTATTACCCTGTAAATAAACTAGAGAAGTTTTGATGTCAGAGGTTTAAGATTGGCGCTTCAGTCTCACTCGTTTGATGATTAGATTGAATTAGAGTAGTTATGAGAAGATAATAGGACGATTGATTACAATATATGATTTCAACTGGTAACAATGAATTCCTTAGTTAATCTCTTTAAAAATATTATAAAATTAACTTTTTAATACCAATAGTATTTTTAAAGAGATTTTTTAAAAGAAATCTTCTTAAACCTTGAATAATGAGTTCCCTAATTACAAAGACGACAAAAACATCTAAAATAAATTTAGTCTTGATTTTCATTTGTTTCTCTTCTTGTTGATGCTCCTGTAATTCTTTCTTGGTTTGTTCATATTTCTTGAATCATGTTTTTTTATGTCAGCTTAAAAATTTAACTAGCATTATTGGTATATATTGAATAAGATACTTTATTATTATTTATTAGCATAAATATTTTACTATAATAAGAATTTTATGTAATATGAATTCTATTAAAATAAGTAATTTTTTTATTATAGGTTTAGAAGTTCTATATATACACTAAATTAATCCCTTAGAAAATGAAATAAATTATTATTTTTTCTCTAAAAATCTATATAGTATCGCAGCAAAATAAAACTATTTTACGAATTTAATTTGAGGATTTCTTTTAAAATCCTAAAACAACAAAAATAAACTGAGTAGAAAGAGAGCTAGATCAGGGGAAGAAAGGAAAGATCAGAGGAAGGGAGAAAGCAGTCAGTTCCTTCCTCCACTGCGCGCAGAGTCGCACAAAGAGCAGCCGATTTCTTCCTCCACCGCACGCAGAGCCGCACGACCTAGTTCCTTCTTCTGCCGCGCAGACGCGCGTAAAGACTTGCGGTGTCCTTCTTCAGCTACGTGCAGAGTTGCGCGAACACCTCGGTTTCCTTCTTCTTTAGCCGCGTGCAGAGCCGCACGACCACCTCCAGTTCCTTCTTTCTCCGCGTGCAGAGACGTGCGAAGATCCGATCGACCCAGCTTTTTCTTCCATTGCGCATAAAGCCGCGCGAAGATCTGCACGATCCAACTTCACTTCCGCTGCGCGCAGAGCCGCACACAGAGAATTTTTCTGCCCGACTGCATTGAGCCAATCTGAATCGTTGAGTCGATACGATTTCAGCCCGAGTCGAGCTGTCTGCACCAAGCCGAGCCAAGTTTTAGCCAGCTGAGTTTCAACTGAGCCTAGTCATTTTTCGAGCCGAGCTGTTTTTCAAGCCAAGCCGGCTTCCGGCCATTTTTCAGCCGACTTCAAGCTGTTTTGAGTCAAGTTCGAATCGTTTTTGAGCTGAAACTGAGTCGTTTTGAGCCCGACCGAGTCAATTTGAGCCGAGCCAAGCTATGTTGAGCCAGGTCAATTCGTTTTGAGCCAGACTGAACCATTTTGAGTCGAGTCAGGCTGTTTGAGCTGAGTCGAGCGCGTGTACGCTTTTGGTAAATTGCATGATGACTTTTCATAATTTGGTTTGCAAGTTGAACATGTGCGATATCCTTACACGAATTTGAGGGGGATGTTCAATAAAATACTTTACTATTATTTATTAAAATAATTATTTTATTATAATAGAAATTCTATCAAAATAAATCATTTTCTTATTAATAGTTTAAAAGTTTTATAAACACACTAAATGTAATAATCTAAAAAATGAGAATAAAATTATTATTTTTTCTCAAAAAATCTACATTATGAAAAATAAGTATCTGTCATTCACTATAATTAATAGGTTACCTCGTTTTCTTCAACACATGACAATACAGGCTAATAATTCAGTAAATGGTGCTTATATTATTTTCTCACTGAAACATATGTTATCTCCATGTTTTTCTCCTTTAAGAATCTAATACTCCATGAAATTCTCCCATCTTCAGCAGTAGTGACCATTGTACGACCATACTGCCTACACCAAATATCAAACTACATTTAATAAAAAAAAAAGACTTATGTGCTTTTCTTCTCTCCAACATATAGCTTACTTGATGTAGTCAACACAACTATCCACTTGGATCCCACACTGCTATCCAACAAATCCTATTTTGCCTATGACAAGCTTACCATTCTCTTCAATCACTCATATGTCTCTCTCTCTTTTTGCAACAACACAAACAACAATTTATATCAAAATCCATTGCATACTATTACTAGTTAATTAACAACATTGGAAAACATTGTTACTCCAAATACTGTATGATCTTTGAAAACATCTCAGCATAACACCTTTTCCCCTATGCATGCTAGAGTAGGCATGGATGGATTAGAAAATTTGATACTTTTAGCATGATACAAAACATTAGATATGACTCCAACATTCATAAAATATTTTCAAGGTTTTCTTTTTCTGAAAGCCTCTAGATAAGCAAGGACGATATATCTCACTTAAGTATGCCTCTCCGCGAGGCAACAAACAACGTCAATCTTCATGATCAACAATTAAATGAATGATGTAACAACTCCACCAGATTTGTATAACATAGTTGAAACCGATAGTAACCAACATTCAACAAAGATATTCGCTAGGCCTTAATGTTGTGATTTAGTGTCCAATTGACTTAAAAATCACAATAACAGCTTTCATTATATAGCTTTAATGGAACGA